AGAAAGCAATGAAACAACTTAATTTCATTTAATGTACATTCAAATGACAAAACATGTATATGTCACAGTTATACTACATTAACATTAGAATTGTAAACCGAAAAAATCTATCAAATCAACAAGTGAGACAAGTGTGTTTTCAATTTCTTATGAAAATGTATACTTTTCCAAACCTAACTAAATAACTGAAGGCAGAGTTATATTTAACTCCATGTAGATCACAAACCTCTGAAATCGGTTGATAAATGTAAACGTTATCGTGTTTTTATCCAGAAAAAAACGCAGCTCGACCCCGTTTACCTCCATGTATTTTTAAGGCAGTCTTGCCTTCACAAACATGGCGGATGCGTTGACATATCGCAGCAATGGCTCAAAGCGGTCAATGAGTCGTCTAGCTATATATTATGTCTGCTGATTGGGCTGACATGTTTGACACACCCACCAAACAAGAGAAAACACATCTCAAACCCTGTCGCACACCGTTTCCAGGAAACATGTCGTTCAAACCCGGAAACTGTAGCAAAACGGTGCACACCGGTTTGAGCTTGAACTTGCTCCAGGTCTCTCGATATACAGCGGGATTCAAAATCTAAATTAAACATTGACAAAGTTTTAGGACATAGGTTTCATTATTGTCAGACAGTTGGTTTTGAAGTGTTGGTGCTCAGTTTTATTTCCACTGTAGCACTTTTCTGAAAAAAATCCAGGGGACTATATTATTGATGTTCTTTATGATGCTTTATTGTGATTTTAATTCAGTTCATTGGAAGGAAATGTACACCATTATCTCATGCATTAGTGTAACAAATAAAAGAAAAAATGCCCAGGATCCCCTTTGAGAGATAACAAAACAGACTAGAGTTAACCATACCCCTGAATCAAACCACACAGAATATACATATACAGAAAATAAATGGTGCAATATTTGCCAAAATAACTTTAGCCATTAATGCATTGTAACAATCAGCTTAAATCATCGCTATAACCATTTTTGGATATATATTTTTGAAATGTAGTGTGTCAGATTATTGAGTCATGTTCAAATTAGCAGTCAAGCAGGATCTTTTATTCAGTAGTATTCTGATCTTTACACGTCATTGGAGTGCATGTGCAGCTGTTTATGTATTTGTAGTTATGACGGATCTCGCTGCTGTTGGCACACTTCAGTGTCACCGTTTTATTGGTGAAATTCGCCTCCTTGCAGCAGGAACAGCTGTGCATCAAATCGTTCGTGTACATCGAATACCTGTGCAAGTTTCCAAGAAAACACCAGTCAGATGAGTGTAGTATAGCTGGATGAGCTTATATCAGTTTATCCTAATATACAGTGTCCCCACAAAGGTTGGCTACCGCAAATGAATGGAGTTGGATGAATGAATGGTTAGAGATTTTCCCATAGCTTTTAACAGTTTGTTGAATTGATGTTCAATTCATTATAGAAAAATTAATAAACTGAATTTAATTAGCAAAGACATATTGATATCTCTCAATCCTGCTGTTCAAGTAATACACACACACACACACACACATATATACATACATACATACATACATACATATATATATATATATATAACAGTTCTTTCTGGTCCTAGAATCTGATTGGCTGAGTGCGATATTAGAGTGATAACAGAACTCTTCCAACCGTTTCACCGTTTGTATCACTCCACTTCCGCTTGCTGTATATCTCATCACAGCGAGTGTCATGGCGGACGCCCAAATCAACTATCATTTAAAAATAATACTGTTTTTGTGTCACAGAATGTAGTTTTAAGAGTTTTTAGGTGAGAATGTACTTGTTTAGACTAGGGATGCAACAATAAATTTTTTTCAGATCTGATCCGATCCAGAAAATTCGGAGTATCGGCCAATTCCGATCCGATACCAGCGCAGTTTTTTTTTTTTTTTAATCAAAGTAGAATTTCTATACTTCTGTGTGTTGAGCTGATCGTCACTCTTTTGTGTGTTAAACGCAATCTACTAAATATAGACAACTTAATTTTAATGAAAAATAACTAATGAAATAATACATAATCTATGACAAAAATACTATTATAAACTAGGTTAAGTGGATAATTTAGCAGCAAATTTAATCTAGAAAAATCATGAGTGCACAATTTTATAAAATCTAAACATTTATTTAAATAAGATTATTTAGTGGGGAACAAATAAAAGTGAATAAGTGTAGAACTAAATCTGGTAAAATGTTACCCATTGCTCTCTGTATTGTTGTAAAATACATTAATGAAAACAAGTAAATGTATTTATATATAAATAGTAGTTTTAAGAGTTTTTAGGTGAGAATGTACTTGTTTAGACTAGGGATGCAACAATAAATTTTTTTCAGATCTGATCCGATCCAGAAAATTCGGAGTATCGGCCAATTCCGATCCGATACCAGCGCAGGTTTTTTTTTTTTTTAATCAAAGTAGAATTTCTATACTTCTGTGTGTTGACCTGATCGTCACTCTTTTGTGTGTTAAACGCAATCTACTAAATATAGACAACTTAATTTTAATGAAAAATAACTAATGAAATAATACATAATAATCTATGACAAAAATACTATTATAAACTAGGTTAAGTGGATAATTTAGCAGCAAATTTAATCTAGAAAAATCATGAGTGCACAATTTTATAAAATCTAAACATTTATTTAAATAAGATTATTTAGTGGGGAACAAATAAAAGTGAATAAGTGTAGAACTAAATCTGGTAAAATGTTACCCATTGCTCTCTGTATTGTTGTAAAATACATTAATGAAAACAAGTAAATGTATTTATATATAAATATAAACTATAAAATGAAAGACATCTCTTTTAAATGTATAGCACATTAATGAAGGCAGCAACATATGAAAGATAGAGGAGTCTTATCTATCATATGTTGCTGCCTCTATTACTGTGCAATACATTAGATTATTAATAGCCTTATAGGACAGAACAAGAAACGCTATAAATAATCTTTAATTGCGCATAAGTATTATATAATACGAAAAGCTCACAAAGTACAGAGCGTCACAAAGCGCTTATGCTCATCCCGTGCGCAGAATGATGCACGTAAGCAACACGGAGTCACAGCGCGAAGCTCCGTATAGAGAAGTTTAAAGCACAAAGGAAAGAGATATTGATCCGTAGTTTATTAAATCTGTGCGATAGTATATTGAGCCTTTTCTTTTAACAGTTTTAACTTTCAGTTATTGTGCGCTCTTGGAGAGAGTTTCATCGTCTTGACTGTCGTAACCAAACGCGACGCGCAGTTTGAATGCTGAATGGAGGATGACAGACAGCCGCAGCGGAGAGAAGAGTTTAAGTGAACTTGAATTTAATGACTTAAATATTCATCTGTACCTCACACTGACCTATGGAACGGCTTCAGAACACTTGGACTTTGAATTAATGGTGCTTTATAGTGTGTTTGTGCTTTCGTGGGGCTTAAAAATCACACAGAATAGTATAAACACAATATCGGATTTGGATTGGTTCGTCTGACCGATACCCGATCCAGCAGAAAATGCCAGTATCGGAGCCGATACCGATCCTGAGTATCGGATCGATGCATCCCTAGTTTAGAAATCAAATATGCGGTTTGTTAATAAAGATAACATCTATTTGAAAATTTGCTTTGACTTTTTCGGAGATATGAGCTCCAGTGTGTCAGTGGCCGTTCAGCGCTCATGAACCCGCTGAGAGCAGCCTCATCTCGGCCAGATCTTCTGGAATTTGCCGCTGGCTCTAATGTCTCTATAGTGGTTAAATATGAGATACAATTCTATTTGGGTAAATCTAACGGGCAGTCTTTGGCCTCAGTAATCTATTATTTGTTCCAGAGCAAATCGTTTTGGCTGAGAGCAAAAAGTCATCACGTTATATTTTATACAACTTCAATGCTGTATATCAGAGCGCTGTCTTTGTACTTTTGACTGAATTGTCCAGCAACTTTTATGATGTTTATTATTCAATAAATTATATTTTATATACATAGTAGTATTTAGTAAATTGTGTGTGTTCCTGATGGTGATTTTAGTGACATTGTTCCGCCATTAGATGGCGACAAGAGACTGTGTTTTACAAGTCAGCGGTAAAGACTTTTATATTGAAAGAGACGAAGCAGAAGTTATTTTTACTTTTAATAACAGCTAGTAAGACTCAGTTAACAAATGCACTGAGCAGCGCTGTCATCTGAAATCACCCTAAATAGATGAAAGGAGAGTACGACAAAGATATCGCTTTCCTCAGCGAACTTTCAAACTAATGTTTTATTGTGAAGATGATTGAGCTGAAGAATGAATGTTGTATCAGCCGCAGGTAATCACACTCGCTCAGTTAATCTCTCTCTCATAATACTCTACATAATACACGGCTTTTAATACAGTAATACAATAAGCTTTCAATGAAGCAACTCAACGTTCCTTCGTTACTAGTTCTAAAGTGATGGTTTCGAATTAGTAACGGAGGCTTGAGCTCATCTGTTAAACTGTCAAACTGAGATTTGAATCTTTGGCGGAAGGAAGTAGTTCTGCACAAAAGAGGGTTTTTAAAGACACTCCGTTGTTGTTTTTCTTATGTATTTACACACTCGTGCCGTCGAACTGTAGTATAAATGCGATATCACACGAGGAGACATGAGACAGCCATATCTCATGTCTACTCATGTGATATTGCTCATAAATCTTTAATTGATGGGAAATATAATTTTATCAATAACTACAAATCAACATTTGGTCCCAAACTAGCTAATCGCTACTGAGCACCAGCTAAAATGATTCTTAATATTGATAATTATTGAATGTTTATTGCTAAGTCTTCAGAAAGAAAGTCTTATGAAATATAATATGAATTATGTTAGTAGTTACTCACATCGATGTACTGTCACAGTGGCCAGTGCAGGATGTAACTTCGACATCCTCGATGGAAGTGCAACCATTGACATGCAGACGGGTGTTGCTCTTCTCAAGAACACAGTTGTTGGTGATGTTCATCACACCAACACAGTTTCTGGTTTCACCTGAGATATAATAGAGGTATGTAAACCTGTGACTTTTATGAACAATGCTGTATTTTACTGCATGCACTGCATTTTATATGGTGCAAAACATGTTATTTTTAAGTTGCTTAACATGTGTTAAATAATCTGCATAAGGCAGACAAACCATTTTAACATTAAAACAAATAGTTTGTCAGTATGTTCAGTGTAAAGAATATCTTACAGATCTGGCAACATCCATCAGTGTCAAATTTTAATGTTTCCTGTAAAGACAGAAATAATAGAACAGAAAACATTATTTAGATATGGTCAAATCTCCAGTTTTCCAAAACATATTGCACATTTTCAGGCAAAAAAAGTACATATTTTATTTTCTTGAAACAGTACACAAAATTTTCCAATCCAAAGTTCAAACAGTTAACATGGCCATTTATAGTATTAAAAGAATATTCACCCCATTGTGTCATCAGTTACTCAACCTCTTATTACTTTCTTTCTAGTATGAAACACAGAAGCTGTTATTTATAGCAGAATTTCCAAGCTGGTCTTTTTGTACAATGAAAGTGAATGTTGACCATGGCTATCAAACAAGGTTTTTGGGAATAACAACTTAAATTTTGGTCTGTTCCTCACATACTGTAAAGAAGACTTGGAATAAAGCACACGACTTTTATTGGTTACTTTTTATTTATTTATTTTTATTAAATCTGACAGCCCCTGACCCCCCATCCCCTTTCACTGTTTGGACCAACATGAGGGTGAGTAATTGATGACAGAAATTTCCCCCCTCTTTGATATATTAAACAAATCCAACTGCAACTTTTGTTTTGTTAAATAAGGAGTGTGATTCTTTGACTGTGTTAATTGTTTTGAGAGCATTTACTTTAGTCTGGAGAAATGTGAAAAAAAAGTAAAGAAAAATTGTAATACATCAAAGCCAAACATCCAAACTTAAGCAGTAGCATAAAGCAACAGTAATACAGAATACAAGTTTACAGGTTTACAATCCTTTGGATTAACGTCGGGGCATTTTTTTATGCTCTCCACAATCACAAGTGAGTTATTAACTTCATTGCAGGTACCAGTTGTACATTTAAACTTGTACGCCTCGTGAGCCTAAACAGAAAGGCAGAGAGGCTATATGAGATTGAAGAACAACTAAGATAATTTATCTGATGAGCTGAAAGAACGAGGAAAACATTGACAAAATTTGGCGATGTACCTGGAGAGTATGTCTGCTGTTGTCCGGCGCATTATAAATACAACATCTTTGTCTACACATTCCACAGCACTCTCCTTCTTGTTTCACATATTCAAAGCACTTGAAGGGTAAAAAGTTTGTAGTTTAATAATTCATTCCTTTTGACAGACTCATTAAAATGAACCAGAGCCAGATTCACAAAACATTCAAATCTCCTAAACTCTTATTTTCTTCTTATTTTGTAATTTAAGAATAAAATTAGGAATATTTTGTATTACCAAAAATACTTTTACTTAAGATTGTTCTTAAGACAAAACTTAAAAAGAATTCCAATTCTTGAAGAGAATGTTTTATTAAAAATCATTGCAAATAACTTCTTAAAGATATTAGAAATTGAATCTCTTTTTTTTCTTATGAAGACTTTGTGAATCCAGCCCTAGTTCTTAGGAATAATTTGGCCATGATTAGGACATAATGGCTCGCACTGTGTTCTGTTGTGTGCTAGTGAACAAAGCTACATCACCACTGTAGAATCAATTAAGGAAGCCGGTACTGCATCAGAAAATGACAGGCATACAAAACACATAGAAAACAAGTGTGTCATGTGTGGAGTATAAGCTAGTGATTTTACTTACAGGATTACAGTCACGTGAACTTGAGTAAGTGCACTTCTCATAGCTCTTCTCGGTCACGAGTGAGCCATCAATTTCACGACAGGTAACATTTCCACATTTGTAAATGTGGACTTCTCCAACCTGACAAAAGACAGACAGACTCCATTGTGATGGAAGAACAGAGCAGATTCATTGTCTGATGAACTAAAAGAATGAAGAAAAGTTCATAAATGTTTACAAATGTACCCGCATTCTATATGTGGTGTTGTCTGCCATGTAAGTACAGTTCTTCAGTACACACTTTCCACAGCAGTCTTCTTCTTGTTTCACATATTCAGAGCCCTTGAAGGGTAAAAACACGTTTGCAGTTTAATAGTTCATTCCTTTTGACAGACTCATTAAAAAGAACCAGAGCCAGATTTACAATCTTATCTCTTATTTTCTCTATTTTCTAATTTAAGAATAAAATTAGGAATATTTTGTATTACCAAAAATACTTTTTTTTTTAAAGATTGTTCTCAAGACAAAACTTAAGAAGAATTCAAATTCTTGAATAGAATGTTGTTAAAAATCATCATAAATAACTTCTTAAATGTAGAAATTTAGTATCTTTTTTTCTTAAGACGACTTTGTGAATCCAGCCTTGGTTCTTAGGAATAATTTGGCCATGAAAAGGACATAATGGCTCACACTGTGTTTGCTGTTGTGTGCTAGTGAACAAAGCTACATCACCACTGTAGAATCAATTAAGAAAAACTGTATTGCGTCAGAAAATGACAGGCATAAGAAACACATAGAAAACAAGTGTGTCATGTGTGGAGTATAAGCTAGTGATTTTACTTACAGGATTACAGTCACGTGAACTTGAGTAAGTGCACTTCTCATAGCTCTTCTCGGTCACGAGCGAGCCATCAATTTCACGACAGGTAACATTTCCACATTTGTAAATGTGGACTTCTCCAACCTGACAAAAGACAGACAGACTCCATTGTGATGGAAGAACAGAGCAGATTCATTGTCTGATGAACTAAAAGAATGAAGAAAAGTTCATAAATGTTTACAAATGTACCCGCATTCTATATGTGGTGTTGTCTGCCATGTAAGTACAGTTCTTCAGTACACACTTTCCACAGCAGTCTTCTTCTTGTTTCACATATTCAGAGCCCTTGAAGGGTAAAAACACGTTTGCAGTTTAATAGTTCATTCCTTTTGACAGACTCATTAAAAAGAACCAGAGCCAGATTTACAATCTTATCTCTTATTTTCTCTATCTCGGTCACGAGCGAGCCATCAATTTCACGACAGGTAACATTTCCACATTTGTAAATGTGGACTTCTCCAACCTGACAAAAGACAGACAGACTCCATTGTGATGGAAGAACAGAGCAGATTCATTGTCTGATGAACTAAAAGAATGAAGAAAAGTTCATAAATGTTTACAAATGTACCCGCATTCTATATGTGGTGTTGTCTGCCATGTAAGTACAGTTCTTCAGTACACACTTTCCACAGCAGTCCATGCATAAAACCTCCTTCATATTCATGACATGTGTCATGTCATGATTATGAAGGTGTCATGTCAGTCTTATGCACACCCCTTCAAGTAAAGTGTTACCGAATATTTTGTATTACCAAAAATACTTTTTTTTTAAAAGATTGTTCTCAAGACAAAACTTAAGAATTCAAATTCTTGAATAGAATGTTGTTAAAAATCATCATAAATAACTTCTTAAATGTAGAAATTTAGTATCTTTTTTTCTTAAGACGACTTTGTGAATCCAGCCTTGGTTCTTAGGAATAATTTGGCCATGAAAAGGACATAATGGCTCACACTGTGTTTGCTGTTGTGTGCTAGTGAACAAAGCTACATCACCACTGTAGAATCAATTAAGAAAAACTGTATTGCGTCAGAAAATGACAGGCATAAGAAACACATAGAAAACAAGTGTGTCATGTGTGGAGTATAAGCTAGTGATTTTACTTACAGGATTACAGTCACGTGAACTTGAGTAAGTGCACTTCTCATAGCTCTTCTCGGTCACGAGCGAGCCATCAATTTCACGACAGGTAACATTTCCACATTTGTAAATGTGGACTTCTCCAACCTGACAAAAGACAGACAGACTCCATTGTGATGGAAGAACAGAGCAGATTCATTGTCTGATGAACTAAAAGAATGAAGAAAAGTTCATAAATGTTTACAAATGTACCCGCATTCTATATGTGGTGTTGTCTGCCATGTAAGTACAGTTCTTCAGTACACACTTTCCACAGCAGTCTTCTTCTTGTTTCACATATTCAGAGCCCTTGAAGGGTAAAAACACATTTGCAGTTTAATAGTTCATTCCTTTTGACAGACTCATTAAAAAGAACCAGAGCCAGATTTACAATCTCATCTCTTATTTTCTCTATTTTCTAATTTAAGAATAAAATTAGGAATATTTTGTATTATCAAAAATACTTTTTTTTTTAAAGATTGTTCTCAAGACAAAACTTAAGAAGAATTCAAATTCTTGAATAGAATGTTGTTAAAAATCATCATAAATAACTTCTTAAATGTAGAAATTTAGTATCTTTTTTTCTTAAGACGACTTTGTGAATCCAGCCTTGGTTCTTAGGAATAATTTGGCCATGAAAAGGACATAATGGCTCACACTGTGTTTGCTGTTGTGTGCTAGTGAACAAAGCTACATCACCACTGTAGAATCAATTAAGAAAAACTGTATTGCGTCAGAAAATGACAGGCATAAAAAACACATAGAAAACAAGTGTGTCATGTGTGGAGTATAAGCTAGTGATTTTACTTACAGGATTACAGTCACGTGAACTTGAGTAAGTGCACTTCTCATAGCTCTTCTCAGTCACGAGCGAGCCATCAATTTCACGACAGGTAACATTTCCACATTTGTAAATGTGGACTTCTCCAACCTGACAAAAGACAGACAGACTCCATAAGGATTGAAGAACAGCAGATCCATTGTCTGATGAACTAAAAGAATGAAGAAAAGTTAACAAATGTTTACAAATGTACCCGCATCATATATGTGGTGTTGTCTGCCATGTAAGTACAGTTCCTTGGTACACACTTTCCACAGCAGTCTTCTTCTTGTTTCACATATTCAGAGCCCTTGGAGTGCAGAAATAAGTTTACAGTTTCAATAATTCAGTGGTACCTTTCTTTATACTGCATTCTCAAATCACAGTCTTTTTAAGTTAGGTTAGGTTAGGTACACTTTATTGTCCCTGAGGGAAATTCCCAAGTTCTACTTTTGAAAATGCTGAGGAAAGAGCAACAGGTGATGTTAATGAGGAGGTGAGCAGAGAAACATGAACAACCAGTCAGTAAATAAACTGATGTGTCTCACAAAGGTAAAATATACCTGGTTCATTTCAAATCGGATATAATCAAAAACTTGCAGTTTAGTAAGGAAATCTGTAGTGACCTCAGTTACCGCTCTGAATGATTCGTTGGTTGAGTGATTCTGATTCAAACCACTGACTTACCAGTAGGTTTAAGACTCTTTTGTGAATCCTTTTGATTGACTCATTAAAAATAACTTAATAAGAATCATTTGTACATGAATTAGACATAACAGCTCACGCTGGATGTTTGTTTATGCATGTAGGCAACATTGGTGCGCACTCTAAAGTAATTTGGTAATCAACTAACCGCACCTCATGAGATGATCTATGATAAAAGCACTTGTGGAAGCACACATGGTTTGTGACTGTTGCCAACGACGAGTAGATTTTAATTTGTTGTTAGAAATCTGGAATTTTTTTCACATTTGCGACCATTTTTGTCACAGTATGGAGCCGCACAGAGAGTATAGCTAAATGTGAGATGTACAGTGACATCAATCCCAATTAAAGTAGTAAGGAAAATCAGGATGAACGTCATTGGTCAGTGAGCCACAATGTCACTAGTAAACAAGAGTGCAACATCATCACTGTAAAATCATCATCATAATACTTCAGAAAGTGACAGCAATACAAAATACACAGAAAACAAGTGTGTATTGTGTGGAGTTTAAGCTAGTGATTATACGTACAAGTTTACAGTGAAATTGACCCGAGTATGTGCACGTCTTGGAGTTCTTCTCAGTCACAAAGGAGCCGTTAATTTGACGGCAAGTAATAGTTTCACATGTGTAATGGCGGACTTCTCCAACCTAACAAAAAGACAGACAGACTCCATTGAAGAACAGAGCAGATTCACCGTTTGATGAAGTGAATAAAATGATAACAAATACAAGAACATGATCAACTTGATACAAAAATGATAATTTAAAGGTGGGGTAAGCGAGCTTTCAAAAACGCTTTAGAAAACTGATTCGGGCCGACTAGCAAAACAAACTTGGAGCCAATCAGCAGTAAGGGGCGTGTCTACTCATGATGTGGAGGAGAGAGCGTTCAGTGCACAAGACGGACATTAGCCGAGCCGAGCGACAGAAAGATAGAGATGGCGGATAAAAAACAAGAGGAAAATGTCTGCGGAACAAAAGAAGGCTAAAGGCAAGAAGTAGGACCCGTGTAAATATCGGATCAGCTTTCCAGCGCTGGAGAGAACTCAAGGAGCGGAAGGCCTGCGATCGGACGCCGAGGTTGCTTTGTTTCTTCTCGATAGGTGAGTAACACCGTGTCTGCACCGCAACAGCTAAAGTCTGTCTAGTACTGGACGCGACAAAGCGACCGTTGAAAATCATTTGAAATTTGTGTCAATACGTCATGAATAGAACGCATCAGCAGTTTTCTGTCGGGGATGTGGCTCGGCACGACATGACAAATCCCCGACAGAAAACTGCTGATGCGTTCTATTCATGACGTATTGACACAAATTTCAATTTGTTTCAATTTTCGAGCCACATCCAGTGTAGACCATAGATATTTATATACTGTATATCTATGGTGTAGACAGCATCACTGATTATAATGAGTTCCATAGTCGCGCCGCGCCATTCGGCGTAGACACGGTGTAACATTGGTTTTCCTTTGTTTCACAGAACTAATCGTTACCTGGGTTGCGTACATATGTGTGGGGCGGAGCTATCAAAATAGGGGCGAGACCCTTTTGGGGTAGGGACATGTTTGTTTTGGTGATTTCAAATGTCAACACTGGCTACCAGAAATCGCTTACCCCACCTTTAATGCCTTTGCTTAATTTTAGAATCTTTCATCTATAGTTAATTAATACAAAAAGCTCACCATGTACTCAGTGTTATTATACACACAGACATCTTTAGGCACTAAAAAGAAAAAAAATAAACAATTTTGGAAATTGCTTATAGAGAAACTTCAGCCAAAAATAAAAAGGAGACATGGTGAAGAATGCACTTTTCAATACAACTGTGATGAATGGGTACTGAGGCATTAAAGTTTCAGAAACAATGCAAAAGCACCATGATTGTAACCTTAAAGTGAACTAAACAAGTTATGTGCCATATTCCAAGTCTGATGACGTTATATGATACCTTTAAAGACATTGTAATTGGTCCAAATTAGTACAACAACAAAACCCCAGCCCACATTCATTTCAACTGCATTGACAAAACTGACCAGTTTCTCCTTTTCACAGTTACATGGGTATGGAATGATATGATGATAAGTAAATGAGAAAAATATGTTTTTGATGTGAGCTATTATTTTTAGAAGTTGCAGTTTTGTAGAGGAAAAAAGGATTCACTTAATTTCTTTGTAAAAATTGCTTTCTTGGAAAATACAAAAGGTTTTTGACAAACAGCAATGATATTTGAGTAGGAATCAGTAAGACAATTTGAGACTTACCACAGGAACAGCAACGGTCTTCAGTTATATTTAATGCTAATTTAAATCCCACATCACATTTCTTCGTAATGCATTGCTTAGGATCGCAAACTGAATGGATGAAGAATATTTAAATTAATATCTCTGAATGTTTTGTAACATTGTTATGTGTTTATGACTGTTATTAGGTCAAAGTGGAAGAAATATCGGTCCCACTTTATATTAGGTGGCCTTAACTACTGTGTACTTGCATTTAAATTAATCTTTTGATACAATGCACTTATTGTGCACATACATGTTTTACATTGTACTTATATTTTAAAAATACCTGCATGTAATTACATCTGTAATTATTTATAATTACACTGTTGACCCATCCCTTATACCTTAACCCACCCTTAAACCTACCCATACCACCAAACCTGTCCCTACCATACCCATATCCCACCTCAATAGTAGCAGAATTGTTTTGGGTTACACTTTATTTTAAGGTGTCCTTGTTACAGTGTAATTATACATATAAGTACTGAGTAATATTAATTAACTGCATGTACTTATTATATGGTTAGGGTTAGGATTTGGGTTTGGCTTAGGGTTACTTGCATGTAATTATGCATAATTTAGTAAGTACATGTAACGTGTAACGGACACCTTCAATTAAAGTGTTACCATGTTTTGCTATACAATATGAACACAATAAGTGCACTATTAATTTTTTGATGTAAGTTTGAAGTAAGTGATTAAGGCCACCTAATATAAACTGGGACCGAAATATCAAGTGGTTTCACGTTCATTTGATGCTTATGACCACACCAGCAGGTTGAAACTAGATCAGCCATTTAAGTTTAAATGTCCTTTAAGTGCTTATGTGTTTTGAAGTCCTTATTGTTCTTACCCATGCAATGTTAGCAATTATTATCAACTTGTACTGTATTCATAGTCACGGCTGAGAATCTTTTGATCAGCAATATCAATGTACACTTATAAGTCTATCAGACACATTTTAAAATTTTGAATCAAGAGAATCAAATTATATCAGCTTTTTTATTGATTCTTGATAAATTCTTGATAACTTACCACAAGTTGGACAGCAGTTTTGAACAGATCTTATGTATCCGTCAGCACAGGGGATTTCAGTTAGACACTTTACAGGCTCTTTCAAACGAATGCCAGAAGTAGTGCAATTATATATGTTACAATCAACTGTCCATGTATCCCCAGGCTGCAGAAAAAGAAATTAGTTGATGACAGTTAGTTTTTGGTAATTTTAGTTTAAATTTAAATTGTTTATTTAGTTTAAATTGTGAAAATGTGTTATGTCTCTGACTAAAATGAGACCCTCTGCTATTAACAAGAGCCTCAAGATACAAGATTTTTATTTGTCACATACATGGTTATATAGGGAATATATGACCAGCAGTGAAATGTAAGTGAATCTTGAAGCCTGCAGCTTTGGTCAAATATAGGGTGGAAAAGAGGGAATTGGGGCCCTAGACAACAATTTCAGCTGAGGGGGTCAGAAGCAATAAACACTACCAGGGCCCTGGAAACTCTAGTGATAGCTAAGATGTTTCTAAGCCCATGTTACTGCTGTATCATTGTTTCTCTGTGCAAGACACACTTTAAATTATAGTGACATACCTTTTTAGGTAAATCATTAGGGCCAATGCAATCTACAAAGAGGGAAGAAAAACAACCAAATCAATAATATGGCATCAAGACGCATTAAATTAGCAAACAGAGAAAGTAAATGAAGAAACACTTCTTACCGCAGTAAGATGTACACATATTTGATGTCATATTAACCCGATATTGGCCATCAGGACAATAACAACCTTCCGTTATCATTTGGTTACAATCAATCCTGTGACATTCTTTCTCTGCATACATATCATTGTACCTAGTTGAAAAAAAGTACAGTAGAAGTAGAGATTTGTCAATTAGAATGACTACTAAAATGCAGTACATTTTACAGTTACATTGAGTCATTTAGCAGACACTTTTATCCAAAGCGATGTACAAATGAGATTTTAGAGCATTCAGTATTATAATTTCACTTATTAAATATGATTATTTTATGAATATGAATATGAACTGATGAGATTTATTACGATGTACTGCAGGATTTTTCCACTTTAGGTCCACATGCCTTGTAGATTTTGTGACTGGGACACTTGAATTCTGAGACAGAAAACAATGACAAGATGGCACTTTCAGATACAGTATATAATATCATGATTTAACAGTAAATATACAAATGCATACATTACACATGTCAATGTTACTACAATCGTGTGTGCTTTTGTGAGTGTACCACATAGCCCTTTGAGGACAGGTGAGCTTCTCCAGTCCACACAGATAGACTTTTGACCACATAGCTGTGCATAGGCCTCCACACTAGAACAGGCAACAGACTCATTTCCCATTCTTGATACATCATATACACATGCCTTATAATGGTCCTGATGGGGAATGGCATTATGGCAGCTTTTAAACAAACTGTAAACAAAATACAAAACTGTGAGCCCCCCAAAAATTCAATTTCACTGATTTTAGTAGAGAATGACTAAACAAAAACATGTGAATTGTATTTAACATCATGATGTAATTCTTTTAAGTATCACTCTCAAACTCTGTTTGTCTTTTGCCTTACTTGCTAGGGATGATTTCACAGACAGTAATGTTTGGAGGGCTAGATGGAGAAGGTGCACGAGGAGGTGGATCACATACTGGGGGGACCATCCAAAATTGTGCCATGTGCTCACATGAATTGTCGATTGTTCCATTAGGAAGTCTGCAGTCATTTCTGGTGTTGTTGTCACAATACCCTACAAATTATCGACAGAATCAAAGAGAAGCAAAACCCAAACTGTATATTTTCTGTATATTACAGCTGCAATAAGTCAGGATGGAAAAGCGATATATATTCAGGTATTTCCATACGAGACATTGTCATACTGTACATAAACTACAAATTACTTTTCTTTCATTATGTGAAACAACTCTATTAATCACAATTGCATTTACTGCAGAAAGAGATTTGTACTTACCACACTGTCCTTGTGTATTATCATGAAAGTAGGAGAATGGGAGTCTGATTTTGACATCTAAATCTCCGACTGTAATCTCAGTTTTGATATCAGAGATATTCAGAGTCACTGTCATGCCAGTAGTAGAGATGATGATGTTATCGATTACATATGTTGGCTTTTTCTCTTCATCATTAACATAGACCTAAGGGAAATATTTATGATAAAAAATGTAATACTATGTATTACATGAACATGCTGAATTGTTTTTTGTTTGTTTTAGGGATTTTAGGGAGGTTTTCAAATAGATGTCTACATTCCCTCAGTAACCGCGGGACCTGATTGGATTTCTTGCAGTACAGGATTAAATTTACACTGATTAAATGCACACTGTCACACTATCAACATGGGGGATCTAAATTAGGGTAGAACGGTTGGAAAGAAAAGAGCATTTGTACACTAAGTAAAATTCAGAGTGAGTAAGGTACTAGTCCTGTGCAGACCTACTTTTAAATGCTAGAATGTTTTTCAAGAGTGTGAGTTTTGGTAAACAAATTTGTCTGAATAAACTTACATGGATCCCTTCATTATTGCTGGTCAGCTTGATTTTGTAGGATTTGTAATACACAATCACATACTCAGGGCAAGCAAGAAGGTCTGTAACATCACAATAGTAGTTTTTAACATGGACACTGATGTTGTATCTTGGGATGATTTCTTGGAACAAAACATAAGTGCAGTTTCCTTGGAAAGCATAGTATTGTCCATCAAAGGTTCTGTAATGAGGGTCACCCCAGGTCATGCACAAACCTGTTGGCTCCGAAAACAAGTTAAACAATAGTTCAATATAATGCATTGCCAAAACAACATTATTTTTGATAGCATATTAAAAGATCAATTTGAACAAAATGTCAAAAAACAAAACAAAAAACAATATGATTTAAACTCACATTCACACTCATACTTATAGCAGCAGCCATTGTTGTAATACACCTTCACAGGATCAAACCCGTTGTCACATTTATGGTTTGAAGTTATTGGTTCACAATATACAGGTTCCGGGGTGAGTTTTCCATTTTTGCATGTTAACACAGTGCATGCGTCTGTCTGTTATACAAAAATAGAAGTTCAAAGGAGTTCAATAAAATTGAGTAATAAAGGTTAATAAAACAGTCATAATTCATTTCAGGGGTTTTTACAGTACAGTAGTACAGTAATAAAAAGTAACTATTATTTTTAAATTATTATTTATACACTGAAATAATAAACACAAATAGTATGTGATGATTGATTTTAGCTTCTCTTATTACCGTGTGATTGTCAGATCGAATCTTTTTTACAATATAACAAGAGGAGTTGCAATAAGCAGTATAGCACTCATCCTGTAGAGGGCTGATTGTTGAGCCTATAATTACAATCAAAGATTTAAAGAGGAGACAAAAAAAATTGTTTAAAGTTCAAACCATGTCCACCAAATCATGTCTATTTCAAACTAACTGTAAATCAATCTAAAAAGCAAATTTACATGCACTAAACAGACACAATAATAATAATTATTATTTTTTATTATTATCAAGGCAGTACTCACCCACTGGGTAGTTTACATTTTCATATATGCAGAAACATTTGGTAGACATAGATGTTTCTGTTGTTGTAGATGGTGGTGTTATAGTTGTGCTAATTGTTGTAGGAGTTGTGGTTGACACTCTAGTTGTTGTTGAGCTAGCAGTAGATGTTCCTGTTGTTGTAGATGGTGGTGTTACAGTAGTTGTGATAGTTGTTGTAGGAGTTGTGGTTGACACTGTAGTTTTTGTAGAGCTAGCAGTAGATGTTCCTGTTGTTGTAGATGGTGGTGTTACAGTAGTAGTGGTAGTTGTTGTAGGAGTCGTGGTTGACACTGTAGTAGTTGTAGAGCTAGCAGTAGATGTTCCTGTTGTTGTAGATGGTGGTGTTACAGTAGTTGTGATAGTTGTTGTAGGAGTTGTGGTTGACACTGTAGTTTTTGTAGAGCTAGCAGTAGATGTTCCTGTTGTTGTAGATGGTGGTGTTACAGTAGTAGTGGTAGTTGTTGTAGGAGTCGTGGTTGACACTGTAGTAGTTGTAGAGCTAGCAGTAGATGTTCCTGTTGTTGTAGATGGTGGTGTTACAGTAGTCGTGGTAGTTGTTGTAGGGCTAACAGTAGATGTTTCTGTTGTTGTTGCAGGAGTCGTGGTTGACACTGTAGTAGTAGTAGAGCTAACAGTAGATGTTCCTGTTGTTGTAGATGGTGGTGTTACAGTAGTAGTGGTAGTAGGTATTGTAGGAGTTGTGGTTGACACTGTAGTTGTTGTTGAGCTAGCAGTAGATGTTCCTGTTGTTGTAGATGGTGGTGTTATAGTAGTCGTGGTAGTAGTTGTGGTTGACACTGTAGTAGTTGTAGAGCTAGCA